TATGCATTACAGTTTGTGCAGCATGAATGCTTAAAACGATGAGTGAAAAAGGGATATCAATTGCGACTACCCCCAATTGAAAACTGCCTAGATTTCATTTTGTGTCTTATAAATGAAATCCAGAATTTAGCCCCACCATGTCTGGATCGTTCCATCCTCCAGGTTTCTGTGCTGCTGCCAATACATCCTGATACCTTTCGACATAATCAATGATACTGACGATCGATTTCCATGATCCTTCAACGTCATCAAAGATTCGCCATGAGTTGCAGGCTTTTCGCACATCATTGTAGTTTACCTACGTTTAGAATTACATTGTGCGTAAAAAGCATCTTAAAAGAGTGTGTAACCTTATGCTCTTTGTGAGCTAAGTGGAAGAACAGCGGCCAGCCACAAGCATAAACGATAGGTCGACCAGTTCGATTTAGCGCTTGCTCCATTTTAGGGTATCCTAGACGACACTGAGATTGACAAAGTTCAAGGTCAGTGTTGTCAATTTTTTCAAATAATATGCGCAAAGGTGCCTTCCGCTCTACGCATATTTTCTCCTAAATTAGGAGAAAGGAACTGTAATTTACCAGTTGGCATCAGATCGGTGTCTACGTAGCATCCATCAAATTTCAAGTAGTCGATGTCCCAAGAAGCAAATGTATCAGCGTCGTCCTGAACAGACTCCATCATCCGGATGAGCAAAAAGGTCAATCTGTCATAATTTTCAAAATCAAAATTTGAATAAATTGTTATTTTTGACGCTCATGGTACACTTGCAAACCGCACACTTATGATGCAGTGAAGCTTGCAGAAAAATTTCCACAGGAGTTTCGGGACGAAAATCGACGAAAAGGGTTGAAGTGGACGGGACTATGCAGCCTCTTTTGACCAGTGGGACAAATATTTTAAAAGGAAAATATCAAAAAAATGATTTCTCGAAACAGAAAGGAAGAATCATTTTCTTCTCTCAGCTAAATTTCCACTCCTCTTTTAAATTTCGAGAAATCTCGGTGTTTTCTATAAAGCTACTGCTACCAGATTACTTGTCTATATAACTGCTGTTTCCACGAATTTTAACATACTGGTAACAATACCACTGACCTTAATATGATCTATGCTTCCTGGATATCCAGCACAAGTCTTTGTTCCAAAATCCTCGTAAATTCCAAGCTCTAATTTTCTGTCGTGCATCTAAAATCAACAATCTGGGAGTACTACAAAAACATAGGTTTGACATTTTTTGGAGGACTGTACGGGTATTATGAAATACTAATTTCAAATGGAAAAATGGGAAAATTCTAAAAAGTATGGGAAAAATATTTCCGTGGAGCATTTTTCATTGCAGCTTTTTTGAGAAATATCATAAATTTGTACTTTTACCTGTGCATTTCTTTCATTTTCCCTTCAGAAATGCAGCACATTAACTACCAACACAAATAATGCTTACATATTTGGCTAAATTTTTCATGCCGCTTGGGAAACGTTCTCTATCCGCAACAAGCTTTCCGTGCTTATCTCTAGAAAGTTCCATCCAACAGTCATCAATGTGCACTCGATTATAGCCGGCATCCCGAAAGCCATCACTCACTATAATCGAATGACTCTTAAATGGCGAATGCTTCAATTTGTAGCACTGAAGAACGTAACGGACCCTCTGGACTTTAAAAGAACGCAAGTTAGGGTTACCAGTTACACCTTCTAGCATATAACAATTGACTGCCCTGATGCTTGCCCACTACCCCAAATTCTGAGACACCCACTAACCAAGTTTATCAGCCATTTCTTGATAGAGCTTTTCATTTATGCAGTCGTTTGGGTATTTTTCGCAATCAACTTGACAGAAGAATGTCGCCCACGACATCCAACCCATCGGAGGGGTTCTAAAGTTCACCTAAGCATTGCAGTTGATAGACTTCGGCTGTCACGACACGAGACCTACCTTGCTAGTCCATTGTCTAGAGCGAACAATCTTGTAGCAAAGAGTGATAGAAGGAATAAGTGGAGTACGATCATTTTGAAAATTAGAAGCCGGTCTAGTGGTCTAGTGGGTCCCTAGAAATAAGTTTTCAAATAGTGGACGACTGTAAAAGAAGATACAAGCAAATCATGGAGATCCGAAAACAACATTGTTAAAAGTAGATACATTTAACATTCTTTCTTAGGAGGTGAAACTTCTTGACATTGCGTTTTCTCTACAGATTTCTTATGTCAACCTATGTAGTTTGCGGGAAAGGTATGGCATGTAACAATAGTTAGGATAACAGTTGTGAAAGGAACATTCATTTTTTTGATGATAACAGAATTTTAGAGTTCTCTACACGTCGCGAAATAGGGCAATTAAACACTAAGAAAATTTCTAAAATTGTTGCTAAAATTACTGAAAATTGTCGAACTTCTGGAAAGCTGATAGGAGGAAGACATTCTTTTACAAGAGCAATCTTTCCAAGGACTTACGGCATCTATTATGACTCTTATGAAAGATGAGACAGGACAGCATGCAAAGCTCAGAGGCGAGCATAAGCTTCTGTCCCAGAAGTCAATTACATGCGAACTTTTCAACTGCTGTGTAATATCGACAATGTTCACGTCACAACACACTTTTCTTCGGATCAGCTGGCCAAAGAATGCTGCACTTCTTTTTTCAAATTGCGTTCTTTCGTAGATAGAGAATTAGCATTACAAGCATGTAATAAATGAACTATCATAAGTTCTAAAAACAATGCTCTTCACATCCAAACAACTCCTTCAAATTCAAGATAGTGTCATATTTACAAGGTACTAGAACAGCTCAATGCTTTGATAACAAAAAGTAGCTTACCCTTTTCAAAGTGAATAGTTACATGTAACTGCACAGTTAGCGCTCACGAAACAGATCCAAACCTATGGAGCCACTATTGCAGGAATGCTACGCATTTGCTACCGCTTTTCAGACAAGTTTGCGTTTTTTTTCTGGAAGTTACTTCACACTTTTATGATTTTTTTGGTTAAATAACTTGCACACATAGAAACCTTCTTTTGCTCTATAAACTTTCACTGTCCTTTTGAATCATTTAATTTGCGAAACTTTCGAGCTGAAATTGTAACGTCAAATGGACAAAAACAGCGCTCGCGACACCTACTGTTGTTTGCCCTATGGAGGCAAAAGTAAGAGAAACATTTCTAATATCGCTTTTGCACTAACA